ACAAAATATAAGTGTTTATTAACGGTTGTCCATTGGCTAGACACCACCAATAGGAACCTAATGTGGGAGAGAACAAATCAACTTCTAGTTGAAGAAAAAATTAGGAAAAACTGTCGGAGCTGGATAGGACACTCATTGTGGAAATCATCCAAGTGCATCATCAACAATGCAAGTCCTTACTTAGAATGTTGAAGGCCGATGGGGAAGACACAGAACAAGGAACTTACTGCGTCAAGAGTTGGAAGCAGACATGTCCTAGTTGTGTATTAGGTAATTCATAGGTCATCTTTGTGTAATGACATAACAACTGCTAGACGACTGAGGAGAACCCAATCCCAACACAAACATTTTTTTAAATTAGGATTGATCTGTGTTAATTATTACTCTTGTTCTATTCATCATGGGTCATGACCCAGTATTATTTGGATTCATGGGACAAAGTCCGACTTGTCATACCACGTAGTGCTCCACGGGATAGTAGGGACTAACGTCACTGGAGAAAGTCAGATTTGTGGCCATAGACAGTGATTTAATCAATGCACGGGGTTTAAAACAACACTTACTGCGGTATAAGCGTGAAAGAGTATATCTTCAACGGATGACTTATTTGCTAAGTTCGTTTGACTACCCATTTGATATGGGTAGACTATGGTTCGGGGTAAGCTTATGTATACACTCCGGTCAATACACTCTCTATAAATGGATATCACATGTACTAAGGTGCCGAAACTCACGTAAATTTTATAGTTGTATATAATACTTACTGGAGAACATGATCCCAGTATATGAAACATTTCAGTCTCTCGTTAATTAATATGATTATTGGTGTTCTGTTACTACTCAATGTCGATGTAAGTTAGGTTGACTAGTAGATTAGATTGGGTCAGCTTAATTAGTCAGCACATTGGATAGATGATAACTTAAAAGTAGGATTACGTAACTTCATCAAATCAAATCATTCATGTCTCAGTTTAATTGTTCAACGTCTATCAAATACCTAATTTACATTGATATATTTATTACTTACTAAGAGTTTGATAATATTAGTTTTTACTATTGAAAATTGAACTGAATTCCTGTTGAAACCATGAATCGATCGATGTTAGACCACCATTAGAAACCTGGAAGCACTGGACAATGGCCGTCTCGTCCTGGTATGGGACTCCTCAGCAGTGCGCATCCACCACTCAAGTTAGACATCAACACCTTTGGACACCGGCTCAGTGGTCCGATGGTTAGGCGTTCGCCTACAATGCTGAAGGTCCTGGGTTCAAATCCTGTGGGGTTCGAGAGTCGTGGGTGCGCACTGCTGAGGAGTCCCATACCAGGACGAGACGGCCATTGTCCAGTGCTTCCAGGTTTCTAGTGATGGTCTAACATTGGTCGATTCATGGTTTCAAAAGAAACTTAACAATCTTCACAACCCCGTAATAAAAATTCCTGTTGAAAAAATACTTTATCGGTAAATCATCGAAACTCTGGAATAATTTACCACAATCTATTCGTGAAATAAAATCATTCCGATCCTTTGGTTTATCTCTCTTTACAGAAAATGACTTTACTGTACTTACAGTTGAAAGTATATCCCCTGTTCACAAGTAAAGATTATAAGAATTCGAAAGGTGTTTAATTATGTTGTTTTACTGAGTCTGTTGAATAACATGATTGCTTGCAGATAATTTATACTAACAACATTTTATGTAGATTGAACTGAATTTGAAAGAATATTGAAGCCGAAAAATTCACACAAAATAAATAAACTTGTATCAAAAAATCATGATAGAGAATTCTTGTGATAATTATTGATTTTATGTCTCCTTTTCAGTGCTGTCTGTTTTCAGTTTTGTTTTGTCTAGTTCTAAATGAATGAATATAACTAATCTGTTATGACGGTGGAAATGATATTTTGGTACACGGTTGAAAACAGTCCCAGGATATGTCTAATTGATAATGAGAAAGAGGAGATACTGTTTCAACAGTTTTTTTTTCGGAACTAGAACATTTTAAACAATCAAATATCATTTATCTGCCTTTTATATTTAACATTTCTATCTATATACCGAGCTGGATTATGTCGGTGAACTAACATGAATTGTGCAAATATGATTTTTAGAATATTTATAATTGTTAATATTATGATCATTGTGCTAGAGTTTCATTCTCTGAACTGGATGTTTTGATTGTGAAGATTTCATTTTTTTATTGTTATTCTGAGCAGTAGATGTAGGCTACGTGGTTTGGGTCCGTGAGACGAAAGTTACCGATGTTTAGAAACTTTGAACGACATGGCTCAGAATCGTTTGCAATGGAGCAGGTGCATCCATTCGTTGTGTTCTCTTAAATTCTAACTTTCTGAATTCCTCATCATCTCTATCTTCCTCTTTACAAATTTATCTCACTGAATTATACTTTTTGAATCATATATTCGAACCCTAATCTTCTCCATTACTGCTAATACTTCTATTATTGCTATCACTCTTGGATTTGAGCTGATGGGGCATGTCAACCTTAAGTGATGTACTTACGTACGAAGTTCTGCTTTGTATCTGTCTGTCTTCTGAGCACAATAGCGCCAATCTCAGATAGAGAAGTAAAGTATTCAAAGTAATATTCTCCAAGCGCGTAATCTTCAATTGCAATCCAATTGCTGACGATCAAATCTTGGCATAACATATTGTTTATTCTACCTAATCGATTACTATTAGAGATTAAATAAGACTGAATGAAAATTCTTGCGAAATTACAAAGAGATGTTTCAGCTTATTTGTTCGCTATAAGACCAGGCAGTATTAGTAGTAATAGTAGTAGCAGTGTGGTGCGCGCTACTTATAAGTAGTATATGACGCGAGTGTAAACGTTATGTCTGGCAGCAGAAGATGGGGCAAGATCAAGAAAGGAGGAAGAGTGGGAACACAATGGAATTTGTATGAAACGCATGAATAAGTGAAATGTCAGACAATGGATTGATGATGGATTGAAGATTTGCAAATTAACAACGGTTACGATATGGTTTTCCTATTTTACTGAGTAACTCTGTAATTTTCGTGAAATACAACTCGGTTGCCCTCACCTGTGTTCTCGTTCACTACAGTCGTAGTAATAACAGTTGTAGATACTAATTCGCGGAAATGGAGTGATCAGATGCAAATGTAAACGCACGAATTTGAAAAGCAAGAACATTTGCAATTCCAACAAATACCAACCAACTTCAAAGTCACAAAACTCCGCCTGCAGCCATCTGTGAGGCTACTGTCATTACCAATCTAGGGTAAGGGAAGAGTGTTGGGCATGGGGTTAGCGACCCAATCTCGTAGAAAACTAACTCACTAAAAACAACACTCGCAGTTTCCAATATAAACGTCAAAAAACCTTGATTACATGGAGAGGGATCTTGGAGAACTGCAAAAGATATCATTTAAACAACACACTTGTTTATTAACTGCAGTCGACTCATGATACTTCAGATATATTGACCAAACATCATCAACAACAACCTACTATGTGAGATAATAAACCAGATTACAGTTAGGGAAGATATAAGGAGAAAGCCTCTAGATATGGGGATAGGATAAACTGTGAGAAAAGCACTCAAATGCATCACAAAGCAAGCGTGAACATGGAGCCCTCAATATCAAATGAAAAGAGGAAGGCCAAAGAACCAATTACACCGAGAAGTGGAGGTAGACATGAGAAGAATGAAAAACAATTGAGTAGGAAGGCTCTGGACAGAGTAAGTTGGAGAATGCTGGTCGGCGGCCCATACTCCATTAGGGATTCTAGGTAGAAGGAAGTAAATGATTGATAAAACCTCCTCCTTACACTTATCTATTGACCAAATCATCATAATCGTTCAAAGTTAATTATTTGTATGGAACTAACAAGAAATCTTGCTCTTCGATCTCTCATAAATTGTCATTTATCAACAATGGATATCAGGTGATTCAAATGAGCATAGAATCATTGTAAGATTCATACATTTATCAGTGTTAAAAAGATTACAAATGAACTTATTCGAAGTCAGACAGTCAGATACAACGCAGAACTTCGTACATCAGTTCAGGTTGCCATGCCCCATCAGCACATAGACACAACTGTCAGTTCAAATCCAAGAGTAGAAGTATTAGAAGTAATGGAGAAGATAATAGAGCGAAGATATGATTCGAGAAGTATAATTCAGTAAGATAAATTTAGAAGGATAAAGATAGAGAATTTGAGAGAACACAAATAGTGGATGCACCTACGCCATTGCAAACGATTCTGAACCATGTCGTTCAAGGTCTCTAACCATTGGTGACCGCCCCTACCTTTCTTTCAACCTACTCCTACAGTACAAAACATCGCCTATCAAGGCAGTCGGTGGTTAGCCATACGTAACACATGTCCCAACCACTTCAACTGACGGAATCTCAATTCTTCATCTATTGATTTGCCATCCTTATCTAGAACTCGTTTCCAAACGATAGCATTGCTTATTCGGTTGTCCCAGGGGATACACGAGCACTCATTCGAAGTAACAACTTTAACACTGTTTTCAATATCATGACTTCTATACATAATAATGATCAAGTTAAAATTGATTATTCTTTAATGTTGAACTAGTCAATTCATTTCAACTAATCATTCATGATGAATAACCTACAGTAAGAGTAAGTAATCTTGCCTAGCAGAATATCAGATTCGAAAATATGATTCGATCAAAATATTTTGAAGACCTGAAAGATCTGTAAGAAAAAAACAGCCAAAAGTCTACTTTTGTTTTTAAGAAATGTAATTCTAAAGATTAGGCGTTATATATTTGATTGATAAATTAGATCTTCTCTATTCTATCAGTTCATGGCTTATTGTTCATTTATGAAAACAGTGGAGTTAAATTTTTTTACACACAGAGAGAGAGAGAGAGTAGGTCTTATTGAACATTGCAATGACAAAAAAGAAAAGATTAAAAATTTCACAAATTTCTTCTTGTTTTTTTTTTAATTAATTTTTCTAAGCTATAATTTTTATTGATAACATTCTTATATATATATATATAAAGAAGTGTCAAAAATATATTGAAAAATTTAAGTGTTCCCATTATGAATACTAATCTACATTTTTGTTCATTTTACCTTAAAAAAATATACTACTTTATAAAGGAAAACAGTAGTATTTTAAAATCAATCAAAAAAATATTATAACACAATATATATGAAGTAGACACAATGAAAATTAATAGAATGAAATGAAGAGAAATGATACAAACCACATCTAAATAATTGTTACTTCTACATAAAAAATAGACAACAACATTTTTGATGACAAAGAAAAAAATGTCAAATGAATTACTCAGTAAACTATGAATTTTTTCAAATCATATACTTACGTAAGTATACATTATAAATATATATCTTTTCCATGGAATTATGTTGTTGTACTCTGTGTGATCTCTTCAATACATGGTACAACACATACAGTTGTATTTGCATGATGTACCACATAATCACTAACACTACCCATAATTGTACGTTTGATTGCACCTAGACCACGACTACCAATAATAATTAAACGTACATTATATTTTTCAGCTTTTTCAATAATTGCTGACCCAATATGATCAACAGATTCATATAAAAATTGAAATGTTAAATTATTTGTTAAACAATCTGCACTATAATCATTTTCTAATTGACGTACACGTTTAACATTTGTCTGTACAATATTTGACCATTCATCACTTGGTATACTAATTGGATTTGATAATGAAATAGTTGGTAATGAAACAGGTTCTACAGCATGATAAATAGTCACTGCATCATCTGGTCGTTGTAACCATTTTAAATAATAATCAAATGCTCTTTTAGAATGTTCTGAACCATCGATAGCAATTAATATTGAACGTGCTCCAATTGTTGGTATTTTAGAAAATCCTGATGGTCTACGATTCATTATTATGAAATGAGTATTTAACGTCCTGTTATATTTAGTACAAGATATAATTAATAATATCACAGAAAGGCTTTATTATTTTGCCTGTTTATTTTGACCTTAAAAATCAAACTGTCATTTGATTGGTTAATCAGAATTTTCTCAATTCTCATTGGTTTATTCTTTTTACTTTTCAAAATAATTGGTTAAAGTGAACATATAAAAAGTAAACGTATTTTTCTGGGGAAATCAATTTTTTTTCTTCCCCTACTAATCTGCTTGATGAAGGTTATAGAAATAATAATCAAAATAATAATAATAATAAACACATCACACTACGAATGAGATTAATCCTGAAAAAATGATTTTAAAAGGCGAGTTTTTTTTTATTGACCATGTGTTTTTAATTGAATTTCATTGGACTAATAATGTAGTTGTTCAATGTTATCAATCAATACGTCTACTGATCTCTCTCATTGATCATAATTAGCATTGTAATAACAGTTATATCAAATCTATAACTGTTATTACAATGCTAATTATGATCAATGAGAGAGATCAGTAGACGTATTGATTGATAACATTGAACAACTACATTATTAGTCCAATGAAATTCAATTAAAAACACATGGGCAATAAAAAAAACTCGCCTTTTAAAAATCATTTTTTCAGGATTAATCTCATTCGTAGTGTGATGTGTTTATTATTATTATTATTTTGATTATTATTTCTATAACCTTCATCAAGCAGATTAGTAGGGGAAGAAAAAAAATTGATTTCCCCAGAAAAATACGTTTACTTTTTATATGTTCACTTTAACCAATTATTTTGAAAAGTAAAAAGAATAAACCAATGAGAATTGAGAAAATTCTGATTAACCAATCAAATGACAGTTTGATTTTTAAGGTCAAAATAAACAGGCAAAATAATAAAGCCTTTCTGTGATATTATTAATTATATCTTGTACTAAATATAACAGGACGTTAAATACTCATTTCATAATAATGAATCGTAGACCATCAGGATTTTCTAAAATACCAACAATTGGAGCACGTTCAATATTAATTGCTATCGATGGTTCAGAACATTCTAAAAGAGCATTTGATTATTATTTAAAATGGTTACAACGACCAGATGATGCAGTGACTATTTATCATGCTGTAGAACCTGTTTCATTACCAACTATTTCATTATCAAATCCAATTAGTATACCAAGTGATGAATGGTCAAATATTGTACAGACAAATGTTAAACGTGTACGTCAATTAGAAAATGATTATAGTGCAGATTGTTTAACAAATAATTTAACATTTCAATTTTTATATGAATCTGTTGATCATATTGGGTCAGCAATTATTGAAAAAGCTGAAAAATATAATGTACGTTTAATTATTATTGGTAGTCGTGGTCTAGGTGCAATCAAACGTACAATTATGGGTAGTGTTAGTGATTATGTGGTACATCATGCAAATACAACTGTATGTGTTGTACCATGTATTGAAGAGATCACACAGAGTACAACAACATAATTCCATGGAAAAGATATATATTTATAATGTATACTTACGTAAGTATATGATTTGAAAAAATTCATAGTTTACTGAGTAATTCATTTGACATTTTTTTCTTTGTCATCAAAAATGTTGTTGTCTATTTTTTATGTAGAAGTAACAATTATTTAGATGTGGTTTGTATCATTTCTCTTCATTTCATTCTATTAATTTTCATTGTGTCTACTTCATATATATTGTGTTATAATATTTTTTTGATTGATTTTAAAATACTACTGTTTTCCTTTATAAAGTAGTATATTTTTTTAAGGTAAAATGAACAAAAATGTAGATTAGTATTCATAATGGGAACACTTAAATTTTTCAATATATTTTTGACACTTCTTTATATATATATATATAAGAATGTTATCAATAAAAATTATAGCTTAGAAAAATTAATTAAAAAAAAAACAAGAAGAAATTTGTGAAATTTTTAATCTTTTCTTTTTTGTCATTGCAATGTTCAATAAGACCTACTCTCTCTCTCTCTCTGTGTGTAAAAAAATTTAACTCCACTGTTTTCATAAATGAACAATAAGCCATGAACTGATAGAATAGAGAAGATCTAATTTATCAATCAAATATATAACGCCTAATCTTTAGAATTACATTTCTTAAAAACAAAAGTAGACTTTTGGCTGTTTTTTTCTTACAGATCTTTCAGGTCTTCAAAATATTTTGATCGAATCATATTTTCGAATCTGATATTCTGCTAGGCAAGATTACTTACTCTTACTGTAGGTTATTCATCATGAATGATTAGTTGAAATGAATTGACTAGTTCAACATTAAAGAATAATCAATTTTAACTTGATCATTATTATGTATAGAAGTCATGATATTGAAAACAGTGTTAAAGTTGTTACTTCGAATGAGTGCTCGTGTATCCCCTGGGACAACCGAATAAGCAATGCTATCGTTTGGAAACGAGTTCTAGATAAGGATGGCAAATCAATAGATGAAGAATTGAGATTCCGTCAGTTGAAGTGGTTGGGACATGTGTTACGTATGGCTAACCACCGACTGCCTTGATAGGCGATGTTTTGTACTGTAGGAGTAGGTTGAAAGAAAGGTAGGGGCGGTCACCAATGGTTAGAGACCTTGAACGACATGGTTCAGAATCGTTTGCAATGGCGTAGGTGCATCCACTATTTGTGTTCTCTCAAATTCTCTATCTTTATCCTTCTAAATTTATCTTACTGAATTATACTTCTCGAATCATATCTTCGCTCTATTATCTTCTCCATTACTTCTAATACTTCTACTCTTGGATTTGAACTGACAGTTGTGTCTATGTGCTGATGGGGCATGGCAACCTGAACTGATGTACGAAGTTCTGCGTTGTATCTGACTGTCTGACTTCGAATAAGTTCATTTGTAATCTTTTTAACACTGATAAATGTATGAATCTTACAATGATTCTATGCTCATTTGAATCACCTGATATCCATTGTTGATAAATGACAATTTATGAGAGATCGAAGAGCAAGATTTCTTGTTAGTTCCATACAAATAATTAACTTTGAACGATTATGATGATTTGGTCAATAGATAAGTGTAAGGAGGAGGTTTTATCAATCATTTACTTCCTTCTACCTAGAATCCCTAATGGAGTATGGGCCGCCGACCAGCATTCTCCAACTTACTCTGTCCAGAGCCTTCCTACTCAATTGTTTTTCATTCTTCTCATGTCTACCTCCACTTCTCGGTGTAATTGGTTCTTTGGCCTTCCTCTTTTCATTTGATATTGAGGGCTCCATGTTCACGCTTGCTTTGTGATGCATTTGAGTGCTTTTCTCACAGTTTATCCTATCCCCATATCTAGAGGCTTTCTCCTTATATCTTCCCTAACTGTAATCTGGTTTATTATCTCACATAGTAGGTTGTTGTTGATGATGTTTGGTCAATATATCTGAAGTATCATGAGTCGACTGCAGTTAATAAACAAGTGTGTTGTTTAAATGATATCTTTTGCAGTTCTCCAAGATCCCTCTCCATGTAATCAAGGTTTTTTGACGTTTATATTGGAAACTGCGAGTGTTGTTTTTAGTGAGTTAGTTTTCTACGAGATTGGGTCGCTAACCCCATGCCCAACACTCTTCCCTTACCCTAGATTGGTAATGACAGTAGCCTCACAGATGGCTGCAGGCGGAGTTTTGTGACTTTGAAGTTGGTTGGTATTTGTTGGAATTGCAAATGTTCTTGCTTTTCAAATTCGTGCGTTTACATTTGCATCTGATCACTCCATTTCCGCGAATTAGTATCTACAACTGTTATTACTACGACTGTAGTGAACGAGAACACAGGTGAGGGCAACCGAGTTGTATTTCACGAAAATTACAGAGTTACTCAGTAAAATAGGAAAACCATATCGTAACCGTTGTTAATTTGCAAATCTTCAATCCATCATCAATCCATTGTCTGACATTTCACTTATTCATGCGTTTCATACAAATTCCATTGTGTTCCCACTCTTCCTCCTTTCTTGATCTTGCCCCATCTTCTGCTGCCAGACATAACGTTTACACTCGCGTCATATACTACTTATAAGTAGCGCGCACCACACTGCTACTACTATTACTACTAATACTGCCTGGTCTTATAGCGAACAAATAAGCTGAAACATCTCTTTGTAATTTCGCAAGAATTTTCATTCAGTCTTATTTAATCTCTAATAGTAATCGATTAGGTAGAATAAACAATATGTTATGCCAAGATTTGATCGTCAGCAATTGGATTGCAATTGAAGATTACGCGCTTGGAGAATATTACTTTGAATACTTTACTTCTCTATCTGAGATTGGCGCTATTGTGCTCAGAAGACAGACAGATACAAAGCAGAACTTCGTACGTAAGTACATCACTTAAGGTTGACATGCCCCATCAGCTCAAATCCAAGAGTGATAGCAATAATAGAAGTATTAGCAGTAATGGAGAAGATTAGGGTTCGAATATATGATTCAAAAAGTATAATTCAGTGAGATAAATTTGTAAAGAGGAAGATAGAGATGATGAGGAATTCAGAAAGTTAGAATTTAAGAGAACACAACGAATGGATGCACCTGCTCCATTGCAAACGATTCTGAGCCATGTCGTTCAAAGTTTCTAAACATCGGTAACTTTCGTCTCACGGACCCAAACCACGTAGCCTACATCTACTGCTCAGAATAACAATAAAAAAATGAAATCTTCACAATCAAAACATCCAGTTCAGAGAATGAAACTCTAGCACAATGATCATAATATTAACAATTATAAATATTCTAAAAATCATATTTGCACAATTCATGTTAGTTCACCGACATAATCCAGCTCGGTATATAGATAGAAATGTTAAATATAAAAGGCAGATAAATGATATTTGATTGTTTAAAATGTTCTAGTTCCGAAAAAAAAACTGTTGAAACAGTATCTCCTCTTTCTCATTATCAATTAGACATATCCTGGGACTGTTTTCAACCGTGTACCAAAATATCATTTCCACCGTCATAACAGATTAGTTATATTCATTCATTTAGAACTAGACAAAACAAAACTGAAAACAGACAGCACTGAAAAGGAGACATAAAATCAATAATTATCACAAGAATTCTCTATCATGATTTTTTGATACAAGTTTATTTATTTTGTGTGAATTTTTCGGCTTCAATATTCTTTCAAATTCAGTTCAATCTACATAAAATGTTGTTAGTATAAATTATCTGCAAGCAATCATGTTATTCAACAGACTCAGTAAAACAACATAATTAAACACCTTTCGAATTCTTATAATCTTTACTTGTGAACAGGGGATATACTTTCAACTGTAAGTACAGTAAAGTCATTTTCTGTAAAGAGAGATAAACCAAAGGATCGGAATGATTTTATTTCACGAATAGATTGTGGTAAATTATTCCAGAGTTTCGATGATTTACCGATAAAGTATTTTTTCAACAGGAATTTTTATTACGGGGTTGTGAAGATTGTTAAGTTTCTTTTGAAACCATGAATCGACCAATGTTAGACCATCACTAGAAACCTGGAAGCACTGGACAATGGCCGTCTCGTCCTGGTATGGGACTCCTCAGCAGTGCGCACCCACGACTCTCGAACCCCACAGGATTTGAACCCAGGACCTTCAGCATTGTAGGCGAACGCCTAACCATCGGACCACTGAGCCGGTGTCCAAAGGTGTTGATGTCTAACTTGAGTGGTGGATGCGCACTGCTGAGGAGTCCCATACCAGGACGAGACGGCCATTGTCCAGTGCTTCCAGGTTTCTAATGGTGGTCTAACATCGATCGATTCATGGTTTCAACAGGAATTCAGTTCAATTTTCAATAGTAAAAACTAATATTATCAAACTCTTAGTAAGTAATAAATATATCAATGTAAATTAGGTATTTGATAGACGTTGAACAATTAAACTGAGACATGAATGATTTGATTTGATGAAGTTACGTAATCCTACTTTTAAGTTATCATCTATCCAATGTGCTGACTAATTAAGCTGACCCAATCTAATCTACTAGTCAACCTAACTTACATCGACATTGAGTAGTAACAGAACACCAATAATCATATTAATTAACGAGAGACTGAAATGTTTCATATACTGGGATCATGTTCTCCAGTAAGTATTATATACAACTATAAAATTTACGTGAGTTTCGGCACCTTAGTACATGTGATATCCATTTATAGAGAGTGTATTGACCGGAGTGTATACATAAGCTTACCCCGAACCATAGTCTACCCATATCAAATGGGTAGTCAAACGAACTTAGCAAATAAGTCATCCGTTGAAGATATACTCTTTCACGCTTATACCGCAGTAAGTGTTGTTTTAAACCCCGTGCATTGATTAAATCACTGTCTATGGCCACAAATCTGACTTTCTCCAGTGACGTTAGTCCCTACTATCCCGTGGAGCACTACGTGGTATGACAAGTCGGACTTTGTCCCATGAATCCAAATAATACTGGGTCATGACCCAT